CTCGTTCTGGTGGAAACTCTCTTTCTGGCTTGCAGATGGCCGCCTTCTCCCTGTGTTGTGATGACCTGAACAGCTCACAGAGCAGAGTGTTCCCCTCAGTTACCCATCGGGAAGGACCCGATCGGCAGGTGTAGACACAGGCGTAAAGCACGGGGTCTTGTGTGAAATAAACACTGCAGCTAGGGGCGGCCCTTGAATCCCAACCAGCCTCCTCCTGCAAGGCCAACTTGTCTCAAAATTAAATGGACGTGTGCATGGACTTTCTTGGTGTTCACAGCACACTTACCCAAAAAAACAATTCTTTTAAAATGGTTGATTTTTTAAAGTGTTCCTGTGGATCATTAGCCAGAGCTTATGTGTGATGAGCTATAGGGAGAACCCGCACTCACAGCTCAGGAGCCGCTAACCCCAGTGTAAGAAGCCCCCTGTCGGATGAGGAAGTGCAGATTTGATCCCTTCAGGGGTCACCTGTCACCCTTCCTCTCTTGGGGCACTATGTGAGCATCTTCCAGTGCCGACGCAGCCACAGAGACCGTGGATGCCCTTCAAGAACCTCTCCCCCAGACCCCACACCCCTGCAGCTCCCACACCTTTGTCATGTACACAAGGCACTCCCAGCTGTGTGTGCCTGCGTGTGTGTCAAGGCCATCTGCAAGGCATCCTACTTTCTCGGGTTTGTAACTTCCACTGTCACCCACAATATTTCTTCCTTATTGCCAAGCCAAAAGGCTTGGCTACTTTTTCCTTTTTTATAAAATTTAACTTTTTCCTTTCAAAAAGCAGAAAAGGATCTTATGACAAGGAAGAAGACAAATGTTGCTTCTGTCTCTACGTGGACGCACATGATTTTAGTGTTTTTGCCAGCCCTGGATCTTCGACTCTCAATTCATGACCGGCCTCCACTGGGAAGAAGGAACCAGACATTTACAGGGGGTGGCAGCTGGGCCCTGGGCAGATCGGGAAGAATGGACATGGCAGCCCCTAAGTCAGCAAGGCCAGGGCCTCGATGGCCAGAACTGCCTAATAGGGCAGAGTAGTGGGTGCAAAACGGTGGATTCCAAAGATCTGTTTTTCAGACTCTGCAAATTCGACGTTATTTGGAAAAAGAGTCCTTGCAGATGTAGTTAAGAATCATGGGGGCTTCCCTGGTGGCGCAGTGGTTGAGAGTCCGCCTGCCGACGCAGGGAACATGGGTTTGTGGCCCGGTCCGGGAAGATCCCACATGCCGCGGCACGGCTGGGCCCATGCGCCATGGCCGCTGAGCCTGCGCGTCCGGAGCGTGTGCTCCGCAACGGGAGAGGCCACAACAGTGAGAGGCTCCCCCCCCGGAAAAAAAAAAAAAAAAAAGAATCATGAGACGAGACCATCCTGGATTTTCCAGGCGGCCTTAAGTCCAATGATAAATGTCATTATAAGAGACACAGAGAAGACAGCCACGCGAAGACTGAGGCAGAGACCAGGGTGAAGCTGCCATCAGCCCAGGCACAGCTGGAGCATCCAGAAGCTGGAAGAGGCAGGAAGGATCCTCCCCC